CTGGAAGGAAACACCCCAGATTCGTCTTGTACAACATGCTTGTTAGGGGGGCAGTGGATTTATTCGTTGTTTCTCAAAATGGGCACCCGGAACCACAAGGGGACAACTGAACGCTTCGGCCAGTCTTTATTGGCGGACACAACAGAAGTCGCCGTGGCCGAGCGGCTAGACGCTCGTCGCGAATCGGAAGGTCGTGGGTTCGCTCCCTGGCGGAGCCGGACTTTTTTCAAAAATGACCTTGGCTCCCAGGTCGACCCAGCCTTGAGTGAGTACCGGGTGCAGTCCTGGGAAAGTAAAGGCGGCCGGCGTGATGCTGACCACATCACCCATCTTGTGCCGATTGGTCTATAAAAATATAGGTCTAGCCCTATATGCCCTATACGCCTGATGGCGTGGAAAAGGGTTCTTTACTTACTTACTGACACAACAACAGACTGTTTGAACCGCGTCCGCTGGTCACAAAGTCCCTGTACGGTCTTGTGGGACGTTACAAACTTCTATGAATATTCGACTCTTATGTCAACTGTAGATCTTTTATACGTGCACGAGAGAGAGAGAGAGAGAGAGAGAGAGAGAGAGAGAGAGAGAGAGAGAGAGAGGGAGGGAGAGAGATGGATGGATGAATAATCTTTGGTTTATGTGACAAAGAAGCAATCATGTAATTAAGTGTTATTTGGCGCAGTTTGTTCCCGAATTGATTAAGACAATAGAGACATAACAGGCCGCAGGATTCGCGGTGATATGGACCGCTTTGACATTGTGTGTGTGTGTGAGAGAGAGAAAGAGAGAGAGAGAGAGATGTTTCTGAAAACTCTTTATCTTAGTGAATTTTGGTCGATTATTCGTACCAAGAGAAATGGCTAAATAGCCTTTATATGCCATATCTATGAAGATTACTTAGCATTGAGTGGCAGCACAAATATCACAAACACGTAGGTGTTGACAAGAGCAGGTTTCGACAGTCTTGTCAGTGCTCAGTCTCACTGAAAGCTCAGACGCCTATGGCACACTGATGGAACGGGGAAGGACAAATTAGGGTCATGCTCTATGGTGAATCACAAATTGGTAGACGATGTCGGCCTGCCTCTGCTAAGATATACAAGTTTTTGTGTGAAAGCGGGGCATAAATGATACAGATTTTGAGATGAACTTGATGTCATGGACCGTATCTCATTGGTTGGGGATTGGGGGGGGGGGTGGATCAGGCGTATAGATAGATAAAAGATCAAATGATTACAAATTGGTTCAGAGCTGATCGTCAGACAGTAAGCACCTGAAATAGATGCAATGGTAACAGTAGTCCTGAAATCGTATCCTATAAATGTGGTAGAGGAGAAGAGTCGGGCCAAGAAATACATGAGCACAGAATCTCACTGACCGGCCAGGCCTCAGATATGCACACGAAGACAGTCCGTTGTATATGACCGAAAGACTGACCAGACAGCCAGCAGCAGCTGGTGACCAGGGGTGCCTAGTTAGTCATGTATCTTAGTACACTCGTTTCCCTAGCGAGGCGCATTCGTCATTTGCAGGTGACAGGTTCGATTCCCAGAACGGCAACTGTAGCTTTCATTTTAATTGTGTCCAGTGTGTCCTTCTGTCTTTCTCCTTCTTTCTATGAGTGCCGGTCTGTACAGTGTGTGGTGTGTGAGTAAAATGTTTCTTCGATCTCAGGGGTTTACCTCTATTTGCTGTGTGTGACCCAACGACACACGGTGTTATGAGGCGATGATGACGACAATGAGATGACAGGTGTGTAACGGGTTGCACTTCAAACAGTTGTGTGGGTGTTTTGCAGTTCTACAGGTGTGTAGAACTGGCTAACGCCGGCGACTGCACCGAACTAGCAGGTGCACTCAGCAGTCATGACCGCTGTTGACCCCGAGCTGCTATCTCCTTGGCCTGGCTTCCTGGCCTGGAGTGTCCTTATAGAGCAAGCAGGGTGGTTGACCAGTCTCATTTGATTTTACCATCCCCTCCTCGTCTCGTATCATATCGTTCAGTTAATTGACAACATATGGCTTTGTTTTGTTAGTTTGTTTTAGTATCCAGTGGCCATGAGTGGTTAATCCTTAGGCTCGGTATTATAGATATCGCAACCTTTCGGCCTTGATTCTATTGTAAATACCGTAAATCTGGGCTCTTCTGCCTACCCCCGGGAGTGAACCCGGACCACAAGGAGGTTGTCACCCGGTCCGGTTTAGCCAACTACGCTAGAGAGCCAAGCAACATATGCCTTCAAAAACAGCATATCACTCCCCACCCTGTCTCTCTTTCCTCTCTGTCTGTCGCTATCTCTTTATCTTCCCATCCTCTACCGCTCATCCCCTGCTCCATCTTGATTACCCCTACTTCCCTTTTCCCGTTTCCCTTGTCTCTCTCTCTCCCCATCTCTATATCCCCTCTCTGTTTTCCCGCCTCTTACTCTCCCCCTCTTTTTCTCTCATTGACTTCTCACTCTCTCTCCTATCTCTGTTACCCCTCCCTTCTCTTTCCACTTTTCCCCCTCTCATGCCCTCTCTCTCTCTCTCTCTCTCTCTCTCTCTCTCTCTCTCTCTCTCTCTCTCTCTCTCTCTCTCTCTCTCTCTCTCTTTCTGCCTAAGTGTAAAAATAGTTATATGTATGTAAAATACCGACCTTCTATTTGAAACCTCTTTAAAACACACAAGGCACTAGGCGAACTCTCAACACACTGTTATGGACCCAGTGAAACTTAGAAAAATCAATTAAGAGGCAGTGAACAGAAATACAGTGCGACGGATTTGGTGTCCTACTTTTTGCACATACCTTGCATTGTTTAAACAGATTTGGAGCGGGAACGCACGGGTCACTTGGATCAGAAGTATGAAACAAATTAACAGGCCAACGGTCATGGGGTCAGTGCGAGCTAGACCGACAGATTGTAACAACTACGGGAGGGGAGAATTGCGACGTTGTTTTTTAAAAGTCGTTTGAATTGTATAGGATAGGTTTGGCTGTACTTGTTTCAACTGTCTTTGAGATCACGGAATACGTCCGGGTTGCTGGAGTATGACTCGTGAAAGGTTAGAGTGCACAGGGTTTAAATTGATGTCAAAAAAAAAAAAAACTAGGCTAGTGTCATGAGGTTGTGTTAATTAGCTTCGGTTTCAGAGATGTTCGAAAGGTGGAGACAGGCATTCTCCGAGCAAAGTGGCATCCATCACTTAAGAGGTCCCTAGTAGTCAGCATCCGTTGGATACTTTCTCCGGGTATGCCATTGTGTTGGGAAATAAGCAGGCGGATAGACTGGTCGTTTCTGTGTCGCTTGGTGGTGACCTGATGTATGATAAGCTGCATGTTGTGAGGGCTCTTTGGGAGCGATTGAACATTGCGCAGGCACAGATAGATCTTTACGACTGGGGAGAATGGCGCTGCGACGAGTTGCACGGAAATCCGGCTGGAGCTCAACAATCAGGGCCAAGGCGAAGCTGATATACAAATAGACAGTTACTAGTGCCATCGGAATTTGAACTCTTCGCCTTGATGCTGAAGATGGGGACGGAGCGCTTAAGGGGGTGTTCCGAGTGCAGTGATGTTGATTCTTAATTTTACATACAGGGATGTTCGTAATCAGTGAAGGTCCCTTTTTCTCAGTCTGATCTAGGTGAGAAGGGTGTAACTTTGTACTGCTTTCTTCGAAAAGAGTCTCTCGTGTGACCTAGGTTGAGGCTTTGGGTAGGGGGGAAAAGCTAGGGCCAGTTCTACATGTTCTTGGATTGTTGAAAGCTGTGTCATTATGTAGTATAGAACACGCGACATCGGCGCTGATGTAATTGGAGGGAAGACAATATGACACCCCTCCAACGTAGAATAGTCTGACACAGTATGAATGAAAGGTCAGGTAGTGTGTAGATGGGCATGGTAACGTGAACAGGACCGGTTAGGTAAAGAGAGAGAGAGAGAGAGCCAAGGTGAATTTTACAATGTAAAAAAAAAAATCTGCCTCTATGCGGATTTGACCCCTTACCTTCGGACACACAGACGAGCGTTTAGGTCAGGGCTATGCAACTTTTTGCCGAATGTGGCCCGCAGTTGCTCAAAAAGTGGCTTCCGGCGCCCTGTATTTAGAGTAAAAGTTAATCTCATTACCTCCACAAGCAAACCGTAAAAAGCTACTTATTAAGGATTTGCTGAAAGGGCGCAGATATTGCAGCCTATCTGTAAACAGTAACATGACGTGCCCTTCTGAGGGCGAACGACGAGGAAGACTTACATGTTTTCCCATCCCATAACTCCATGTGAGGTTGTTGGACACACCGTTGTGTCTATTTTAAAAACCGGAATCTTCAGTGTCTGCGGGGGTCTCCAGATCAATCGGTGTATTTCCTACTCCTAAGATTGTCTTTGAGTGCGGGTGTTTTTGAGATCTCTGGGAGTCGCCGCCGCTAAGGTTTGGAATCTCGTGCTTTTTGCGACGATTTGAGACTATATGGGTAAAGACCAAGACGTATGGATATAACCTAGTCCAGTACTCTCGCCTTAAAGCAGGTGTTTCTCCTACATGCTTTGTTGCTAACATTTACATTGTATACTCAATTGCAGCTCATAATAGTGTGTCATATTACGGCTTTCCATTTCTAGTGACCCTTTGCTATTTTATAACTGACTAATTCTTCTTCCCCGAGTCCATTGGCTGTAAACTACCGTGTCCCTGTTGCTCATCCACTTCTGGACTTTGGTCTTGTTCCAGAATTTAAGTTTTGCGTAGACTCTTTTTATAGATCTAGCTTATGTATAGTGCAGACTGTTGGTTTCTTATCTATCAGGCAGAGGCACTCCGACTAAGTAGGAAATGTTGATCATAAAATCTACCTTGGCTTGGCCCTAGGGTGGGAACCTGTTTCTAGAATGACTGCGGAGACGTGTCAATGGGACATGACCAGTATCCGGATGAGTCTGAATGTGAATAAGTTAGCAGATTAGAGGTTATAAATGTATGTAATCAGTTGGTTGATTATTGATTGCGTTTCCTATTGCAGCCAGACCACACGTCGCTGTGCTCGTGACAGAGCACCCACATCCACCACCACGGCCACTTCTGAGGATCGTCAAGTGTTCCAGCCCCTGACCCCATCTCACCTTCATGTAGCAGCCAGTCCCGCATTCCTGGCCAGACAGATCCACCCAGCAATGCTGTCCCACCAGCACCCACCTTCGGTGCTGGACCACATGGAACAGGTTAGTCAGCCTACTACCAACTATTCTTCTGTGTGTTCTGGGAACCCCATTTTGGAGTCTAAAAAGAAATAGATCCACTGTTCTTCCAAAGCACAGTCTGGGCAGTATTGTAGAGATCAGGTCATGCAGCATGATCCCTCCCCGGGCCTGCCTTGTTTACTACAAAGGAAAGATGACACCAATTTTTTTTTTTAACAAAGCATTATCCAGAAGCTGCTACATTAGAAGAGCAGTTCTCTTGTCTCTTGGAGCTTTCCTCCTTGATCAGCTAACAAAGGCCAAGGACCTGGTCTGCTTTGCCACAACACTGAACTTTTAGGTGAGAAGTAGTGCTTCGTTTTGACCTATCTGGTATAGGGATTCATGTGTGTTTCTGGTATATTGTAAAAGGACAAGTAATAGCACTGCAAATGTGTTTAAATGAAAATCGTCAACATTGTACTTAGGGACTTTGATTAATGCTAACAATATATGTTAAGTAAGTATGTTACAAAGCTGTGCTCAGTACAGAATTATTTTTAAAATCCAAACATCTCAGTGAAAATGCCATAAATTATCAGCAATCAAAGATTAAAATTTCTGTATGAAGCTACTGTGAAACAAGAGCTGCTTTTAACTTGCTTAAAACTGATGCTTTTCTTAGCTAGCTTCATAACTTCTGTGATGACTAACAGTGTGACGACTACCCTTGAGACTAACATCATGACTAATCTAATGACTAACATCATAGCTACCCTAATGACTAACATCATGACTACCCTAATCGCTAACCTTCATAACTTCTGTGATGACTAACAGTGTGACGACTACCCTTGCGACTAACTAATCTAATGACTAACATCATGAATATTCTAATAATATTGTGACTCACATCATGACTACTCTTGTGACTAGTCTGATGACTATCATCATAGCTGCTTTTTTGACTGTCACATAACAACTCTAATGATTTATCAAGATTGCTTTAATTACTACCAATGACTACTTTCACTACTTTAATTATTTGGTTGAATGTAAAGTCTACCAAAAGAAGGGAGAAGACACACTTTGTATTGCATGCCATAATGGTCATACATACTGTATTTTCTGCCTAGATTCTGCTGTGCTGTTTTTGTTTTCATTCATGTGGTTAGAGTGAATGAAATGTTATTATCGCCTTGTTAACTATAAATATATTGTCACATGAAATACTTCATCCACTGTATATGTTATTGTACTAGGCACCCATGGCAGGTCCTGTACCCGTTGGACCATATGTGCCTGTGTGTGCAACTGCTTCACCTCACCCTCTAGGCATGTGTGCTCCAATGCCTCAAATCCACATGGGTGGCTCTGCAGCACTGCCTTCCTGGTCTCTGACAGGCCTGCCAGTCAGGCTCCAGACCTGTACCCTTCCCCACTGCACCCTTCCACACCCCATCCCCCAGTACCTGCTGTCCAGCCACGCCCCACACCAGCCCCCACCTCCCCCACAGGCCCATTTACCGCTGCCTCCCCACTTCCCAGGACTGCACCATCAGCACCAGCTCTACCACCATCACCACCAGCAACAACAACAACAGCAACAGCAGCAGCAGCATCAACGGCATGTACATAGACCTCAGGTAGTTGCAACATTGTGTTTACTATAGATGTACCTGACAACTTCTGTCCACCTGTGTGATCATCTATACAGATACAGGACTTATGTTATTAGTTTAAATTGCAGGATTCTTTTGGTATACGACTTTATATAGATTCAGGACTTTGTTTAAATACTGGACTTTATATAGATTCAGGACTTTGTTTAGATACATGACTTTATATAGATTCAGGATTTTGTTTAGATACATGACTTTATATAGATTCAGGACTTTGTTTAGATACAGGACTAATTTAGATTCAGGGATAGTCAAGATGCATGATTTGTACAGGTACAAGACTTTGTTAAAATATAGGACTTGTTTAGATACAGGACTAGTTTAGAGACATAGCTTGTACAGAAGCGGGAGGTTGTTTGGATTTATTAATAGTTTTGTAAGAAAATTACCAGACATGCTGCACTAATATTGGAAACAATTTGATTGAGGAAATTAATAGAAGTCTTAAGATGAACGTTGGTGAGAGAGACCAAAAATGCTGGCATGAATTCCATCCATGATGTAGAAAACAGTGTACAGGATACAGTAGAACAGACTGTAAACTCAGTGTGATGTATAAAAACCATCCAAGGAGGATGATAAATAGTTTTGGTGATAATTTATGTACAGGTACAGTGTTCTGTAGAGTATGCTATAAGTGATTATTGCTTGTCTTCTTGTTTGTTCACTGGCTATAAGCTCCGGCAGAAAATCCTGGTTGTTTGTTCATTTGGACTTTGTGCCAGGGCCTGAGTTTTGCATTTACATCCATTTTACTGGCTCATTTGAGTGCAGTTGGTTGTTGTTCTCCGCTCGGGCAGATGCGCTCCGAATTCGAAGGCTTCCCAGTTAGTCGACTACTATGACATGCTTGTTGGGGAGACAGTGGGTCTGTTCTTGTTTCCTCCCACCATGGGGCTCTGGCACCCTCAGGGGAAAAGGGATTATTTGTGAATGCACCTCGTATACCTAAACCTCAGAATGAGTTGAGCTAAGACCTAATACAATAGCACTCTGGATATTCCTGTAAATGCTCTTTCCTCATCTTTAGCAGGCAGTGAAAAGTTTAAATTCTGCTAATGCCAGTGGCAGTGTGATTATGTGTCTTGTCTTACCTGTGTAGAGTGTCAACCATGTGTGATTATGTGTCTGTCTTACCTGTGTAGAGTGTCAACCATGTGTGATTATGTGTCTGTCTTACCTGTGTAGAGTGTCAACCATGTGTGATTGTTTCTTGTCTTACCTGTGTAGAGTGTCAACCATGTGTGATTATGTGTCTGTCTTACCTGTATAGAGTGTCAACCATGTGTGATTATGTGTCTGTCTTACCTGTGTAGAGTGTCAACCATGTGTGATTATGTGTCTGTCTTACCTGTGTAGAGTGTCAACCATGTGTGATTATGTGTCTGTCTTACCTGTGTAGAGTGTCAACCATGTGTGATTATGTGTCTTGTCTTACCTGTGTAGAGTGTCAACCATGTGTGATTGTTTCTTGTCTTACCTGTGTAGAGTGTCAACCATGTGTGAGAATATATCTGTCTTACCTGTGTAGAGTGTCAACCATATCCTCTGGTCATTCCTAGCTGTACTAATATCTCTTCAGACCATACTGATCCTTTTGTGCCTCTGAATTATTCGCTTTCTCAAAAGGGCCTTGACCACATCTTGGAATCCACATGGAGAGCTATAGCTCCAGAACCCTTTCAGTTGAGAGTTTGAAAATAGGCCTGCGCTTCCATATTAATGCCCCCAAAAAATGGGTACTAAGTAGGTTCTGGGAAGTAAAGGCAGATGGTGTTGTATGGAACATACCCTCCATCAAATGCTGATGGCCTGTAAAAAGTATTTGACTGCTAACAGAGGCTCCAAACACCATATCCCAGCATGGGTTCCGGGGCCTCAGCCTCATTTGATGGAAGGGAAGGGGGGTTGGGGAGGTGTAGACTGCTTGCCCCTCAACAACCAACTTTACTAATGAATGACATGCTGAATCAAATGTGCTGGGCTGAAAGGTGCTGATATCGCAGCCTAGCTGTAAACCACAACATAACATGCCAGCTGCCCTATCAGAGTACGAACGAATAAGAATGCAAGTAATGAGATGTAGACATGATTTGTTTATTTCCTCTTTTTATATCGTCGCAGGATGAAGATATCCGTTCAGTGCTGACAGAGCAAAGAGGAGCTGGTATATACCCCATTCATCCTGGCTTTCACCACCACCAGCACCACCATGACCCTCCCGGCGTAGCTTCCACCCATCCATCACATGGTGGGCACCCACACGGCCTGTCCCACCAGATGAGCTCACCACAGCAGATCATGCTCCAGGAGCCTGCAGTGCACCCTACTGCTCCAGATTTCTATGCAAGTGGTTTGAATCTCAGATTTTTGTATTGAGCATTTGGGGCTCAGATGTCTGTTTCAGTGTTTCTGACTCACATTTAGATGTTAGCATTCAAGGCTCAGATTTAAGTTCCAGCATTTGAGGCTCAGATTTATGTGCCAGGGTTTGAGGCTCAAATTTATGTGTCAGAGTTTGAGGCTCAGGTTTATGTGCCATGGTTTGAGGCTCAGATTTATGTGTCAGTGTTTGAGGCTCAGTTTTATGTGTCAGTGTTTGGGGCTCAGATTTATGTGCCATGGTTTGAGGCTCAGGTTTATGTGTCAGAGTTTGAGGCTCAGATTTATGTGTCAGTGTTTGAGGCTGAGATTTATATGTCAGAGTTTGAGGCTTAAATTTATGTGCCATGGTTTGAGGCTTAGATTTATGTGTCAGTGTTTGAGGCTCAGATTTATGGGCCAGTGTTTGAAGCTCAGATTTATGTGTCAGTGTTTGAAGCTCAGATTTATGTGTCAGTGTTTGAGGCTCAGATTTATTTGTCATTGTTTGAGACTCAGATTTATGTGCGAGCATTTGAGGCTCAGATTTATGTGTCAGCGTTTGAGGCTCAGATTTATGTGTCAGCATTTGAGGCTCAGATTTATGTGTCAGCGTTTGAAGCTCAGATTTATGTGTCAGCGTTTGAGGCTCAGATTTATGTATCAGCGTTTGAAGCTCAGATTATGTGTCAGGGTTTGAGGCTCAGTGTTTATGTCTCAGTGTTTGTGGCTCAGCGTTTGAAGCTCAGATTATGTGTCAGTGTTTCAGACTAAGATTTATGTGTCATTGTTTGAGGATCAGATATATGTGTCAGTGTTTGAGGCTCAGATTTATGTACCAACATTTGAGGCTCAGATTTATGTGCCAGCATTTGAGGCTGAGGTTTATGTGCTGACCAATGTTTCAGATCTTAGTGCAGTTGTTTGAAGGCTTTTATGTGATGTGTAGATATTTTTAACTGTAAATTTTTTGTTGGAATGAACTTTAGATTTTTCTGGTTTGTGTTTCAGATTCCTGCCCAAATGTTTGTTACATTTTCTCCTTCTTCTTCTTCCTCTTCTTTTTCTCTTTTAAAGAGATCAACTTTGAAACACCAGTTTTTATCCCATCTGGGCCAGAGGTCTCTTCCCTCTTCCCTCCTGAAAGTGTTGCACAAAACATGAACACCGTAGCTCTGGAAACATTCCTTAGGTGTCTCCATTAAAAATTAAACAAGACGATGCAGCCGTGACATGAACATATGACCTTTAGTGTGTGAGGCAAATAGCTTAAATACTTCCCAGCGCCTTACCCTGTAGAAAACTCTAGTTATTTAATCCAGTCAATCATCAGCAAGTCCACAGAGGACTTGGTGTGAGTTAGTTAACCCTTTTAGCACGGGAAGTTTTTCAGAGGTCTAGCCAAAAACACGGAGCACTTTTTCAGTGAATTTGGTTATTACTTTATTTAATTTTTTTGACAGATTTCTGTTATTCTGACCCCCATGAAATAATATATCTATTTGAAGGATATAGATTGAAGTTCGTGATTTTCACAATATCGTTAAAATTAATTGATGTATATGCAAATTATCTCATTTGCATATCTAAAAATAAAAAATATGAATTTGAATTTTCAACTTCAATGCTTGAAACATAAAACTACAAACAAAAATTTTTTTATTTGAAATCTTTTTATTGATCTTTGGCCTTTTTACAAATGTTGTAAGCAATTCAATAGTCAAAAACAGGTATATATATGTGAAACAGCAATAATATCTTTAGGTGACATGTGTTTTTCACCATCAGTAAGCACTAGAAATGGATGTGCCGGAGTGTCAACACCTTCGGGTGGATATACCCTGAGCCATGGTTGGGCTGTGGTCTGAACACAACAGCGTCCCCATCTGATTCCCACTATTACTACTAACACTAAATCCTGCATCAGTATCAACAGAATTAGTGTCATCAGTTGATTCAAATGTTTTATCAACATCAAGTTTAGGGGCAGAAACATACGAGTCAGACATACTTTTAGCGGTTCAGGTCACTATCTAAAAAATTCAACAACAATTTTCACTTCGATACCAAACACTCGAAAGTCGCCATGTGTAAAGCTGATACCGCAGTTAATATAAATGAATCACTTTCAGTGTTTCAAAGTAGGAGATTTCTTAGCGGTTCGAGGCGAAACACGATCGGGCCGATCATCGGCCGTTCCGTGTTTTTGGCTAGACATCCGCCGGCCGATAATCGGCCCGTCCGTGCTAAGAGGGTTAAGTACTTATGCTCCATTGTTGAAAGGCATTTGTACCATTGTTGAACAGGGTGTTTATAAAGTCTCACTATACTTTGTAAACAGAACAATTAAAAAAATTCAGTACACTATGTCATCAAAAAATGTGCTTAAAAAAAGTCATTAAATTAGTTATGGTAGTCACTGCTAGGGTCTAATGCTGTTTTGGGGAAGCTGGAAAGTATCAGTGAAATATTCATTATAACAGGTGTTGGAAATGTCCTGAGCTTCAGGAGATCACTGTACACGTCACTTCATATCGTCAAATACCTTCAGCAACGTGTCTGTTGTTATTTGTTAAATGGTAATTCTGATTGCTTCTTTCAGGTCCTCATTTGTGTGTACATTATTTTTGTAAATATGTCCTTTCATAGATAATAATTTAATTGAGTTAGATTCTGTCCTAAGTGCAAAGAATCACTCCAGTAGATGACAGCCATTCACTATATTACTTCACACTTGACTGTTGAGCACATTTTTTGATGAGCGATGTACTTCTTTCTTCAAATCTTTCTACATACAAAGTGTAGTGAGACTTTACAAACATCCTGAGCAACATTGTTACAAATTTAATGTGTATTTCAGATGTGATTGAAAGTGTTTGAGTTTAGCATTTGTTTGTGTTGCTCTCTTGTTGGGGTGGGAAGGGGGGGGGGGGGGGTCAACAAGATGGCTAACTGGGGCAATTCCTTCAAAGTCAAAATACACCTGAGAGGTCAGAAACCAACAGTCTGCATACAAATAAGCCAGATATGTAAAACAGATGTGCACACAAGACCCTAGTTCTGCAGCAAGAGTAGAGTCCAGATGTGGAAGAACAGCCATAATTTTTCCGCTGTAGTTGACAACCGGTGAACACTAAGAAGTTTTGCCATGTAGAATCCTTAACTCTTGTCCCAGGCAGTTAGTCCAACAGTGCCTATCCCACAGTTCTCTAGGTATAATTGTGACTATTTGTGGATCTTAGTGAGTTAAAACAAAAGGATGAAAGTAACAACATGGATCAACCAGGTTAAACAGTAAGGGGAACAGACAAAGCTAATTAATAATAATGTGTAAAATAATCAATGAACATTACTTGTCTGGTACTAAAGGAACTAATTAAAATGAAAACTACAACTGTGTTTCTCTTAATTGTGTGTAGGGCTCTCTGTCTGGCTACTACTCCAGGAGGTCGAACACACGCAGTCGAGTGAGGATTCAGCAACAGCACTACAGCCCTGGATTCTTGCTGCAGTTCTTGTAAGTAGTTATTTTATCTTGTGGTCAGCTTGATCCACTGTTGTGGTCAGCTTGATCCACACTTGTGGTCAGCTTAATCCACTGTTTTAGTCAGCTTGATCCACTATTGTGCTCAGCTTGATCCACTGTTGCGGCCAGATTGATCCACAGTTCTGGTCAGATTGATCCACAGTTGTGGTCAGCTTGATCCACAGTTGTCAGATTGATCCACAGTTGTCAGATTGATCCACAGTTGCGGTCAGCTTGATCCACAGTTGCAGTCAGCTTGATTCACAGTTGTCAGATTGATCCACAGTTGCAGTCAGATTGATCCACAGTTGTGAACAGCTTGATCCACAGTTTGTGTCAACTTTGCTTACATTTTTTAAATTTGTGAATCATCATATACAAGCATTGTTGGCACCTGCAGTTTCTCCACAACCATCTGTCTATCATGTTCCTTTCTCTGACTCTAATACCCTCAGTCTTCCTCGTGTGAATTTTATCCAGATAAAGGCTTCTCTTGATAAGACCAGCAAATTAGAGTTGTCATGTCTATCTGTGGTTAATCCTCGTCTTCTTTGTCTTCTTTCACTGGCTGTAAACTCCGGTGGAAAGTTTGGTTGTTAGTCCACCTAAAGACTTGAGTCTTGATCTAAAACCTGAGTTTTGCATGCACATCCATTTTCAGATCTCACTTATATGTATACAAACTGTTGGTCCCTTGCCTCTCAGACAGATGCACTTCGACTTCAAAGGAAGCCTCCAATCAGTCGAATCATATGAAATGCCTGGTGGGGGGGGGGGGGGGGTCTATTGTTGTTTTCCCCACAGTGGGGCCCTGGAACCCACACAAGGATGTGGATAATCATCTGTCTGTATTACAGACTTGTAATGTTTGTGTACGTGCTTGTTTGTAGGGGATGGAATGGATCCTCTGCTGCTTCTTGTGTATGTTGTAGAACAGAGTGTGTGTCTGCTTGCAGGAGTAAAGTGGTCATGCCCTTTTCAGTCCGCTTTTATGTGAAGGATTCATTTCACGAAGACCCCTTTGGATCGCCTCTAGGGCTACAATGTTTAGTCTTTGTGCAACACTTTCTGCAAGTGGCTATTCATTCTGCAGAGAAGCCGAGCAATATGCGATAAAAGTTGGTGCAGGTGAAGTCAATCATCTAGACTTTAACATTTTTCAGGATTGATGTAATGAATCCTATAGTGTCATCTCCATGCGTTACTGAATTATAATTACATGTGTGTTTTTGTGGGGGTAAAAACAGAATCCTGTCACAAATGTGTTATACTTTGTTTTCTTCCAGCAGAGCTATGCTGGGCAGTCCCCCAGTGCCCCATTATGGCAGAGATCTGGACAGCCCAGAAGAAGTGGAGAATTACGAGGTGAAGATGTGTTAATGTTGTTTGATGACTTGTCTAGAGCAGCGACTGTTTGTATTGGTCCATAGTCATCAATGCTATATCCCTGCTTGGTCATTGTATTACCTGGTGTCAGTATCTCATGGACTAGTTGTGTATTACAGACCTTATAATCATAAAGGCCATAGCGCTATACTACTATATGTGAAAATATTTTAACAAAGACATAACTTTCACCGCCTAAAACAGAACTGTAAAGTACTGTTTATACTGTGTGATGCAGAGTCACAAAATAAGAAACATACAGTTGGGTGGAGGAATGCTAACCAAACAGAAATTCCTATTTTGAAACATAGGCTGTGTGTAGAAAAATTTAAAAGTAATAGTAAACAAATAAAATTAGAAATGAAAAATTGCCAAGAGTAATTAAGTTTCAAGAAGAAATTTTTCTGGTATTTAAAAAGGAAATGCACAACTAAAAACTGCCAGAGGGAAAGGCAGAAATGTGCAAAAGGTAGACAGGTGTTTCACAGAGAAAAGAACAACAGAACATAGGCTGGAAAGATGATGATATACTACATCATTGCGTCAGGAGACAGAAAATATTGGTTTGAATTTCTGCGATCAACATCAGATGTGAAGATTACCGGTGAATCTGTGATATCTGTTTATGACTAACATTCTTTCCTTTTGTCTTCCTCTTGCACAATTCTACATTAGTTGGTACCTGCTGATGTGGCTGTTTGGCTTGAAGCCAGTAATTTAAGTAAAGGACTCTTTTTATGCTAGTTGTGCGGTGGACAAAGGTGCTAGACTAGTGTGACCATAATATTTTGTGCTGATAACAGGACATCCCTAGCAAGTCAGCTCCCCTCTGCTTTTTTTCTTATTCATTTTTTTCTAGGTCACCGGGGGGAATGAGTAATGGCTCGCTTGACAGTGGTATTAAAACCTGAATTGTTGCAGCAAAAAAATAAACAAAACAGTATGCTCTTTAAAGGGGGGGAGGGGGTGCAAGGAAACACACTTTGGTGAAAATTGTTGGCATTACAGGTTTCTAAAACTGAAATCTAAAAAAAGTTGTACAGATTTCTGTACGTCTGTGTTCTGTTCTTGAGCTTATTTCTATATATTTTTTTAATGGGACATCTGCGCTATTTGGAGTACCCATGGGACGGGCGGTTCACGCCTGGAATCAGGACATCTGCGCTATGGAGTACAAGCAAGACGGCCAGTGCACACCTGGAAACAGGACATCTGAGAGGGAAGAAAATCAGATTGGAAGATAAGTCAGGGTTTCTTTCTTGTGTCCTTGGGACCCCATTTGAGAGAAAAAAAAGAATAAACCTACCGATCTCTTTCCCCATCCCAAGCCAGCCATTCAAGTTAATTAATTAGGGGTTTTCCCTTCATAGTCAAAGTGCACCTGCCAGAGACATGAGGAATCAGCAGTTTGCATAAAAAAAAAACATGATCTGTAAATCCAATGTGCAAACAAAACTCAAAATTGTGTAACAAGACCAAGGTTTCGAAGTTAACAAACAACCAGAACTTTCTGCTGGATTTATAGCCAGTGAAGATTAACAAGAAAGAGAAGATATTGCATTTTAAATATTTTAACTACACGTGTTTCTCTAAATCCTGTTTAGGCACTGTTGTCTTTGGCTGAAAGATTGGGAGAGGCCAAACAGAAAGGACTGACTAAAAGCGACATTGAACAGCTGCCAGCCTACAGGTTCAGCACTGAAGCAGCGCGATCCGAATCTGACCAGACTTCATGTGTCGTCTGCATGTGTGACTTTGAAGCCAAGCAGCTGCTGCGAGTGTTGCCCTGCTCTCACGAATTCCATGCCAAATGTGTGGACAAGTGGCTGAAGGTAAAATCTCTGTCGGACTGTTCTCGTTTTTGGTAACGTTTGTCATATTATGCAGTCCCGGCTCATCCTTATTCTTCTCCTCCAGTGACCTCATCAGAGTGTTAGAGGGAATTAAGGAATCAAGAATTGACATTACTGCACTTGGGACAGTGCCCAGGAAGCCAATACAGTTGACATGTTACTATAGTTGCAACCTAACTGAAAAGTCACCTATGTTCCCCCCAGGTGTTGAATGTCTTCCAGGACCCCCCTCCCCCTCATGTGTATATAATTTAAGAACTGTCCCCCCCCCCCCCCCCCCACTCAATATATATATATACACACACATACACACACAGTTTATGTTTTCGTTTCTGTGTAACTCTTTATTGTCTAGTTCCTGTGCAATTATTTTTTTAATGTCTCGCTACTGTGCAATTCTTTATTGTCTGGTTCCTGTGCAATTTTTTTTGGGGTCTAGTTACTGTGCAACTCTGTTTTATTGTCTAGTCACCATGCAGCTTTTTTTGTCTAGTTTTTGTGCAACTTTTTGTTGTCTAGTTTCTCTGCGACTCTTAATTGCCTATTTTCTGTGCGACTCTTTATTGTCTAGTTTCTGTGTAACTTTATTATCGTTTCCGCAACGGTTTGTGCATAATTATTTGTTCGTTTGTATACTCCCTAGACAAATCGCACGTGCCCAATTTGCCGACAAGATGCTACAGACACCAGCTGTTGCACAGAGTAGCCGCTGCCTCAAGAGAAACGTGTATGGTCACAGAATGAAAATTTTTCTCATCACAGGACATGCGTTGTTTGAACTGTGCATCAGTATCCAGGTGTTGTGTGAACTGTCCGTCAGTATCCGGGTGGATACCTTATCTCATTAGTTCATTCAGCTGATAACCAGGGACACGGGAAGTGTTTTGTTGCAGTGCATCTGAGCAGTTAGCCACACCTGATCATTTGTAGACACTCTCGGTGGATATTAACTGGCAGCCACACCTGATCATTTGTAGACACTCTCTGTGGATATTAACTGGCAGGGGAGTCGGTCACTTGTGCTCGTGGGACCCCCAGCATTGCATGCTCAGCAAGGGCAAGCCAACGTGTCCGGTACAGATTGTAGGGGGACTAGTACCCAGGGGTACTGATACACACACACACACATACTAACTCCCTAAATTCCAGTTAGATATAATTTAGCCCACTGTCTCCTAGAAAGTTTAGTTATAGATGTTTGGAGCAGTGTTGGTTAGGGAAACACCTGGATGTGGCACAAGGAGTGAGAAACATGTGTAATTAATATAGGGAGAAAAAAAATATTGAGTAGAAGCCAAAAAATGCATGGTGCGTTGCTTGACTCTGAATGGGTTAACTGCCAGCCCGATTGTCAGAACGTGATAAAGAAGCATTCTGCAAGATGCGTCCAGTCTTTGGGGATGAGCTGACAGTACAGTGTTTAAGCTCTGCACCAGAGAATGCTGCCTTCATTAGATGATTTAACAGACTTGGGGTACTGTGTATTAGCTCTGGACTGTCAAATGCAACTTCAATGGGTGATTTAACAAGATAGCCCAATGTAGGGAAGGGATTTAGCAGACTTGGAATACTGTGCATAAGCTCTGCACTGTTGAGTTCTTCCTTCAGTGGTGATGAATGCTTTATAGCAGGGCTATTCAAGTGGCAGACCATGGGGCAGATCTGCTAAAGCTGAAACTAGGATTACCAGATTACCAGATCTGGCTCATAGAGACCTAGCAAGAGGCCAGTGGAACATCTCTCATCTGTATTGATGTTTTTTTTATGATGAGGCTCGGACCTCTGATCAGTGACAGCCTCCATTTCCCAACATTTCAGCCAAGGAATGATAAACCAAAAGTTAGGATTCATAGTTACATCCTCATCATGCTTGCAGAATGTCTCATCAGCCAAAGACCAATTCTAGATGTTTGTGAACCTGCCGTTGTGAAAAATAATCTAACATTGCTTCTGATGAACTTAGCCAAACTAGTTCTAGCTAGCAAGTAACATAAAAACACACTCAGTAATAAAGGTATGGGCAATATATCATCTAGTGCTTGTACAAATACCTCAATTAAAAAAACAAAACAAACAAGGCTTGGTACACAAACATGTGACAGTATGCAGTTATGGATAATGTGCATGGGGATTTACAGAATTTGCAAATCTCCTGCCATGCTATTGGAACAATTATTCTAACGTAAGATGTACACATTATTGTTTGAGTATCATGACAAGAGTGAAAGATAGTTTTCATTTGGTCTTCTTTTCTCCCGCTCTCGTCATTATAAGGGCGGTTGTGTTGTGGTTTACACTAGACTGCAATATCTGCACCTTTTGGTTCAGCACATTTACTTTCAGCGAGCCTTTCATTGGTTATTTGTTACGGGACCCGTAGGTCTATTCTCTTTCTTCTAAAAATGAGCCCCTGGACAGAATAGGAAAACTTTACTTGGATATATTTAGTACTGTCCCACCTTTTTCTCCCCGACTCCCTCCCTGCACTTTCCCTTGGATCCCATAAATCATACAGGAGTAATTTTAATTATTTCTTAGAATCCAAGAATGTATTGGTTATTTCTCAGTGTAAAACTAAACAAAGTTTATACAGTTATAAATAGTCCTTGAGATAGTCAGTCCAAGGGTTGCATGGTTATTTCTCAGTGTAAAACTAAACAAAGTTTATACAGTTATAAATAGTCCTTGAGATAGGCAGTCCAAGGGTTGCAAGCAGCAAAGTAGGCTATATAACAGAGTTGATAGTTGTAAAAGTCTAGAAGTGGTGTTTATTTTTGTTATGTTTATCTTGTTCATAACTTTTGAGCACAGTCAGTACCTACTGTATACTCAACATGTTTGGCAGCTGCAAACTTGCAGGCTGCTGTTTCACCTTTACCTTATTTGCTGTCTTGTTTGACTGTGCCAAGGTCAACACCCAACTTGAGGCCGAACCATTTGAACGTAACCGATTCTTTCGTCGACTAATTGGAAAAATGTCCAGAAAGACTAAAAAGTGTTTTAAAAACAGCTGCTAGGAATATTCAGAATGCTTTCACAGCTGAACATAAGACATAATCATCATCAACTGTGTAAGTTGTCTTGTAGTTCTTTTTACATATATGGTATTGATTCATATTAAAAAAAAACTGGAATTAGAAGTCATTACTTAGTTATTGCTATATCAGATTCTCACAAGGGATGAACACCTCTATGAGATGTTAATAGTTGAGTGAGATTTTAGTGCTCAGGTGACTGATAAGGCCAATCCTAGCATATAATGTTCTCAAGCGGTGTAGTTGGGAAATTTGAGCGACATCTATGGGGAAGATCCAGTTGATGGTCTTTTCTGGGTGGTCTTTGTTGAACTACTGCTGCTCTGGTTGCCTTACGTGGCATATCTGCCAAAGAGAGGAACACCAGGATAAACTTAGGATAGCAGCAGAGATAAGGTTGCTGCCCCATTAGGTTGTTGTTGCACAAATGTAGCTCCTTGTGGTCCCTCACCAACAGTTGGCCACATTCTTCAAACAGCAGAGCTGAATTTCTGTTCCTGTCTAGGAGAGTTTATTCAAGTAAATCATTACACCAAATTATGTTCTGCATATGTTTCAATGTTGTTTTCTTGAGTGAATAAACATTATATGTATATGTGTTTTCTTCTTCCTGTGTGTGTTTTTGTGGCTTGTGGTTGAAATCTCTTTCACATGAGATGCCTAAGATACTTGGCAATAAGTGGCAAGAGAAGATCACAGGTATGGAAGCAACAGGTATTGCAATGGGTTTCTCAATGCTCAGATGGCTGGATCACATGCTAGAGTACCTAAGGATATCCTCTATGGTGAATTACAGATGGGTGGAAGATGTCAAGGTCAGTCTATACTAAGATATAAAGATGTGTCAAGCAGGACATGTGTGATACAGGTATTGAGGTGGATTCATCGGAACAAATGCCATGGACATGTTTGCTTGAAAGGGGGCAGATCAGTGAAGGAATGAGAGTTGTTTGCGGCGTTCACCGGCTATAAAGTCTGGCGTAAAGACCTGGTTGTTCATCCATTTCTGGACATTTGCTTTGTTCCCAGGACCCGAGTTTTGCATCTGTTTAACAGGTCTGAATTCGTTGTATGCAGATTGCTGATTCCTTGCCTCTCGGGCTGATGCACTCTGACTTCAAAGAAAACCCCCAATTAGTCGACTCTTACTACATGATTGTTGGGGAGGTAGTGGGTCTGTTCTTGTCTTCCCCACAATGGAGCCCCAGAACCCACTGTGGGGAGGGAGGGGATGAGAGTGAATGAAGAAAAGATTGCAGAAAGCATGCAAGCTGAGAGTCTGAAAAGAATCACACTAACTACAAATGATGGCAGCAACGATCCTGAAATCCCATGCCTTTACAGTACAGTATATAACACTATCGTCTGGAAGGATCAAAAGGGTCCAGTAGGTTGACTGGTAAGAGATAAACATTAAGTCAAAATACTTATTGGTATTATATGCAGCCTAACCGACATCATACCTAGTGCAGAATGGATACCTGTGCCTCAGGCGTTTATTTGTACATTTTCCTGTATTGTCACACTCAACAGGCGATGTAGAGAAGAGAATCCTGTTGCTGTTAATGCAGAGGTCAACGCTCTCATCGGTGAAAATTCAGACGAAGCAGATGCAATAATCTATACAGACGGATCCGTTATACGCCAAAGAAGAAGCGCATGGGCATTTACAGCACGCTCAGCGGGCAGAACAGTTAAAGAAGCCAACGGCGCCCTGGGCCATGACAACCAGCAGCATGACGATGGAGGTGATGGCAGTGACCCACTCGCTTGCCTGGCTTGAACACAAAATTACACCCGCGTGTTCAGGACTCAGTGATTCAATGAGTATGATCCGGAGGGTTCAGGCTAGGTTCAGTGCGACGGACAAGCTTGAATCATTACAGAAATCCACTGTCCCTTAGTCACCTTTATTTTTGCCTTCCGGGACACGCAGGCGTCGATGGAAATGAAAGAGCTGTCAGGTTGGCTGGATCCGCTATCACTACCGACGGTCAGCCTATGGATCATGCTGATATATTAACAATGCCTCAGAGAAATGGGAAGGATAGACGACTTTGGTGCAGTGAATCCACAGCAGCTCTCTGATAAGTGTGACTTTTTAATTAGACCCTGCTGAGCTCTAGGTATTAGTTCCGGGAACTTTCTACCAGTGTAGTTCTGGTACTATTAGCTATTTTTGTTTACTGCACTGAGGGGAAGATCATCCAACAGTCGCTAACTGACCGGAGTGCAATGAGGATAACCCAACTAACTAACTAACTACTTATTGGTATTGATTCGGTGTACAGGTTTCCTGACTTATGACCCAGTTCTGCTCTGTCCAACAGGTCGTAAGTTAAATTTAAATTTTTCAATACTATTTTTATTCATATGTATTGCAAAAACTACATAAAACACAGAAATTCAAGTCTGTGTGAGTATAATTGATGACTGGCACCTTTCCAGACGATAGTTATATTGTGCTGTGAGAGGCCTGCCAATGGGGGGAGTCACTCAGAGTTAAATTGTGCTGTGAGGAGGCCTGCCCATGGTGGGATTGACTCGATAGAGTTATATTGTGCTGTGAGGAGGCCTGCCCATGGCGGGAGTGACTAGATAGAGTTATATTGTGCTGTGAGGAGGCCTGGGCTTCACAGTCCATGGCGTCAGTCTAACTAGCCCTGTTTCT